TAATTAATATCTGTTTGACTCCAGGTTTACTCCTCATTAAACCATTAACCTTTGATCGATTGTTTTGACTAGTTCAATGATCAGTTTAATCTTCAATACTTTATCATTCACTTTTTAAAAAATTATTTTTAAAAAACAAAATAGAAATATTCATAAAATAATAATATTTACTTCACACATGCTTTACATCCTTCCCTGACTCGTAAGGTCCATCACCCACATATCCACTACTACATAAATCATCCTTGACTTCTCATTCCTCTTATCTCTTTCAAGCTCCACTAATTATAGAAAGCTTTATATAAGTTTCAGGCCAAGCTCAAGCTTTTGGCTTACCACATAAGCTCAGGTCTAGTCTGATCTAATCTATTTTCATTTTCAATGTTAGGCCAATTTCTTTTAAATCTATCATGTTTATAAATTAGTTTGGTATAAATTGAGTTTGAATTTGCAGTAATGTGACAAATTCTTTCCACCATGTACTATATTGGGAATTTTTCCCCTTACAGCATGCAGGTCCTAAAGCACGCAGGTCAAAAAGCCCAAAACTTCAATTGATAGATTGCCTTGTTTAAAGAGTTGGGATTTTGTCAACTGGAACATTATATGTAAATATAAATTGGAAGAATCACATTTCAAAAGAATTATTCGTAGACAAAAACTAATACAAATTATTTGTTGTTAAAATGGTATTAGCGGCTCTTTTTCTTTGCTCTTTTTTTTTTTCCAAATGGTGTGGTAATTTGTTATTGTCCCTATCTATGAATAATTCTCTTGAAAGGCCTATAAATGCGATTCTTTCATATAAATTTAAAGAATAAAATCATTTACAACAATGGTGTTGTGTAATAAGGAAAGAAATAGAGAAAGTAATGGAATATTTGGTTAACCCAAGTGCATATTTAGTTTCATGTTAAAAACTATTTAATACATTTTTGCTGTGATTTTTAACATGAAACCAAACACTCTTATCAATAAAAATTTAAAAAATTTGGTCCCACTAAAAGGGAGATATATTGGACCCACCACTCTTTATATTCTCTACTAATAAATTCATGGTCCGTTAATAATCTAAACAACATGTCAACATACATTTAAGTAATTAGACCTTCAGCAATAGTGGGGTTATGCAACAAGGGGAGGGATAGAGAGAGTACTAGATCGTTTGATTTACTTATTATATGGAAAACTGGATTGGATTGGCGAGTCAACTAATAAACTAGCAAATTGATCAAGTGGCCAGTCCAAGATTTCAATTAAACCTTATTTTGTTGAACCACACGCGCAAGCGCACGCACTCTCACAGACACAGTGAGGTTTCTTGCATGGTTGAATCACTCCCATGGCAACATTTTTTCCTTCCTTCTGTTTCTCATACGAGATCTGAAAATGAAGGATAAAAGAACTACAAAAAAATATTGGTTTTAGAGAGGGAAGTGGAAAAGATGCCTCATACTAGGAAAATGAGAGGTTTCAAATCAACGATAATGTTATCTCCTAACATGAAAAATCAATGGCTATGATATAATTTTTTTTGGATCAAAACTAGGATTTAAATTTATTTTTTAAAAAAAATGACAGTACAGTGCTCATATGTCAATCACCATTATTGGGCAATTTGATCTCAATAAAAAAAAAAGAAAAATTATTTACCTACATGCTACACTTTCAAAAATATTTTTCTAGATGCTATAAATTTGAGACTTGGTTTATATCATAGTCACATAGAGACCCAAATTCTTTTAATGTGGAATAATAGAACTCGATCTCTATCAAGTTCTGTATTCATAATTTAAAAAAAAAAAAATTCTATGCATGGCCTTGCAGAATAGCTTGCCATCTCAAGTACTCCTCTCTCACTTTCCACTTCATCTCTTCCTCCACTCTCCTCCTCGTGTGCATGAGTATATATATTTTTGTGTTACACTTTTTTTATTAAAAAATATAAGGTATTTTTTGAAAAATTTAATGTAAAAAAATATAAAGAATTTTATAATTTTAAAGTGTAATTAATATTTTTTTCATAATAAATAAATTACTTTATATTTATTTTAAAGTGAAATTTCTTATAAATAGAGGTAAATATAAAAGATGGTGTTAGTTTGAAAATAATTAACTAAATGCCTTACATTTTTTTAATGAAATGAGTATATAATATATGGTGGTGTCATTACTAAATTTAACATTGTAATTATGTATATGAAAAAAATTTTGAAATACCTTAAAGAAGATATAAATTTTAAAATGAAAATATTTGTATAATAATAACATACAAATATATGGGTTTGTCTTTGGTGTGTAGCAACTGACTAATTCAAAAAAAAAAAAAGACCATACAAATTCAATATGAGTAATCCAATTTAATATTAAATATTTATAATATATATAAATTGACTATCTGGATGTATTTTTGAAGTCTAGATTAATACTAATTTCTTAATAATTTTTATAAATTTTTATTTTGAGAAATATAATTTTAAAAATAAATATAATATTCTAACGAGTACTTTTAAAAAATTACATGTTCAAATTTTTAAATCTGAACTATCTAAGATAACTATGGGTAATCAATTTATAAAATTTATTAAAATTTTTAATATTAAATTAGGCTATTCATATCAAATATACCAAATTGATTATGAACATATTTTTAGAAATATTTTAATTTTTTATTAATAAATATAAAATACAAATACAAATTTTAAATTTTAAATTTAGACCATTTACATAAAGATCTCGATGAACAAAATCTCATCACTCTAATATGATGAGCACCAAGTTAAACACCTGTATCACTCACACACACAAGGGGGAGGGAGAGGGTGGAGGGAGAGAGGAAGTGAGAAGTTGGGTAAGGGTACATGGGATGGTATGTTAGGTTATCTTACAAGGCTATGCATAGACTTTTTTTTTCCCCCTTTCTAATTATGAGTACTAAACCCGGTTTGACAAAGACTGAGTTTTGTACTTTCATATTTAAACAAATTGGATCTTGGTCTAATATAAACCAAGTCTCAAATTTATAATATATGAGAAAATATTTTTGAAAGTGTAATACATGGGTAAATTAATTTTTTTATTAGTATTGAGATCAAATTGCCCATTATTGTTTCATTCAACTCACACTTGCCAAAGCAAATTTAGCCTCCCTTGCACGCACTACTAAAAAATCCTTTATATAATGGTTATTTTTGCTAATGTATAATGGTTTTTAACTATTATATATCAGGTGCTATATAGTTGAAGGGCAACTAGATAGCAATTTTTTTTTGATAAACTATAAAGTAATTTTTAATTGTTATATAGTTCAAGTCTATATATTGGTTATTTACAAAAAAAAAACTATTGAATAGATTTTTTTAGTTTTGGTTTCAATAAACCATTGAATAAATTATATAGCAGTTTTTTTTAAAATAACCATGCACTAAATAGTTGTGCAATATTTAACGATTATTTCAAAAACACCGTTAAATAGTTTTGCCTAGTTTTGATCAAGTTTCAATTGGTTGCCTAGAAACTATTTAGCAGTTTTTTTTAAAAATAATTGCTAAATAGTTATGTCTAGATAACGATTATTAAAAATAACCATTAAATTTATAGAATTATATAGCGGTTATTTGAAATAATGGCTATATAGTTCAGTCTTTTTTGAAAAAAAGTGGGAGTCACCTGCAAACAAATTACACATATCCCATAAATGCACCAGTAATAGAACATTACAATGTCAACCAAAATTCATGTTATTCAAACCTATAATAACTTCTAAAATCTATTTAAAAATATTTTAGAATTCTCAAAAAATATATATACACTAAAGTAATTATAAGAAAAAAATTTGCCAAGTAAAACCTATTGTAAGTTTAAAAAGTCAAAGTTAATCAAAAACTAGAATTGGCCAAAGTAAGTTTATTTTGCCTAAGTATAAAGAACCTATATATTGCAAACAAAATTAAGCAAGCTAAAATGGTTGTGGTTATCTATTTTATATCCATCGCTTGAATAAACTCTCGTCCAACTCTTGGAGGACTTCTTCAATATGGGCTAGACTATATTCCTCTTCAAATGTATCATGGAAGTACTGTTAAGTCACAAACATAAGATAAATCAAGTTTAAGTGATGTGCATATATCCTATCATCCGGCACATGTTTGATTATGTCTTTCATATATCTCATGATATTATAGCCACAATCATCAACCTTGTGACATTGTTTTAGACTCTTTTGATCATCAAACAAAAATAAAATAAAGTTAGTTATAATAAAGTGGGCTTTTAAAAGATAGAGACTATATAGCAGGTTTTCATTTTAATTGCTATATAGACCTGGAGACTGTATAATAGTTATCGCATATAACAATTATATAGTCCCGGTAACGGTTATTTACTTAAATAACCATTATATAAAAGACATTATATAAAAGCTGTTTTTTCAGTTGTGACGTCTTCTATCTCTTGCAATTTTCAACTTTTTCCTTGTTAAAAGAATACTAAATTAGAGTTTCCAAAAAAAAAAAAATTGTCTAATCGTTAAAACTATTTTAAGTTGAATTTTTATTGGGATTATGCTGATGTGTATAAGAATTTTTTCTCCTTATTGAATTTTTGTTAGGTTGTTTAAATAGAACTAATATTTTTTATTTAAATATTCAATTTTTTCGGATTCAAATATAAATATTCATATATATAATTAAATTAAATTATTTTAATTAAGACCGATCTGAATCCTGGTTGACCCTCAGCTGAACCACTAACTATTAACCTACTATTTTGACTGGTTTAATGTTCTGTTTGATTTTTAATACCTTAGAAAGAAAATAGAAAATGTATAAAATACTATTTACTTCACACATGCTTGCTATTACATCCTTCGCTGACTCTTTCACGTCCCCCACCCACATATCCACCACTATATAAACAACCCTTGGGTTCCCATTCCTCTCATCTCTTCCAAGCTCCACTAGCTATACACTTATTGCTAGGGTTTCCTTATCACCTTATCAATGGCCTCCAAACCTTGTTCCCCCTTTTGCTCTTTTCCTGCTTCTCAATCTTCTCTTCTTTTCCACAGTCTCTGGTCATGGCAGTTTAAAGCCAATGCCCAGCCCAAGACCTATCCTTGGCCTCTCACTCGAAACTGGAATTGGAATCGGAGTTGGTAAGGATGGACACCACAAACTTATTGCAATTTCTTTACTAAATACATGTAGTATGTGCATCATATATCCCCATCCCATGGATACTAAATAATATTACTTTCTAATGTCATTCATTTTTATTATCTTTTATATTCATAATTCATAGCTCACATAAAAAATATCGCACATTTTATATTTCATTATTTTATTTATGGCTATTTATTTTCTTCTCATTGAAACTGACTTTCCCCTCTTGTTTCTATTTTTTTTCATTTCTTCTTGCTTCAGTTCAGAAAACTAAAACCCTAAATATCATCAAGCATAAAGTAGCAAAATTGCATAGGAGATAGATTGTTAAATGATTGTTTGGTTCCTCACATAGAGAAATATATTTTTGATAGTATTGAAAATTGGAAAAAAAAATTCAACATTACCAAAATATGAAACTTCACAGGAAAGCTTGCTGAAAATATGATGCATGTTTTATATTACAAGTGTATCTTCACACGTGCAAATATACGATGCCCCTACGGTAGGGGCCCTACCCACGGTTTCAAAATTCTAGGTCTATCACCGGCAACCGAAAATGGAACAGGCACGTGTCCCAGGGACGCACTAAAAATAGGAGCATGCGCCAATGTGTTGAACGGTTTAGTGAACGTGACAATCGGTCAGCCACCGGTGACCCCATGCTGCTCTCTCATTGACGGACTCGTCGACTTGAGGCCGCCGTCTGCCTTTGCACCGCCATACGAGCTAGCGCTCCGGGCATCAACCTCAACGTTCCAATCAATCTCAGCTTGCTTCTCAATGTTTGCTCTAGGCAAGTCCCTCCTGGCTTCCAATGTCCTTGATGATCTCGTCAGCTATTTGCGTCCGCCATCTTTCATATATTATCGTGTTGTTATTTCCACTTTTTCAACTGCTACAAATTAAATCCTATTATCATGTGGGTGTTTTTATTATGTGGACTGTCTAATAATAATAATACTTATGAATAATAATATGAAGGCTCGAGGCTCTTCTTTGGAGGAACTAGCATTCTTCTCTTTTATCCCTGCGATGGCATTTTAACATGTGATTTCGAGTCCATTTTCTTCTTCGGTGGCCTAGGTGGGCCTTGGTTTTCCAGCTGAATATTCATGTAATGATCAAACTTGTCTGATGGCTTATGAGTTTATCTGTAAATATTATTATATTATTATCTACAGATCTTTACTCACAAATTGCAAGCAATCTATAACTAGTTTGAGCCACTAATATTTAAAAAATAATTTATAAATTTTGAATGAATATTTATAAATAATAATATTTAAATTATTAAATATTAAATACCTAATATTTTCATAATATTTATCAAATTTTATTTTAACAATATTTCAAGGTTTAGGGGCAACTTAGCACCAAAGACCTGTCACTGCATGTAGGCCCCTCAAACTTGGTACATCAACATAAAATGGAAAAGTTAACAAGTGACTAATAAAAAGGGCTTTTTGCTCCTCAGAAAAATAGTTTAAGAAAAAAATTGTCCCACTTTTCAATATAAGGTGTCCAGCATTTCTAAAAAAAAATGTTCAAGAATAAAAATGAACCTTAACCCTATATGTTAAGATAAATAAGAGTGAAATCATTATTGTAATCAGGAGCAAAATAGAGAAAGTAATAGAACATAAGGTTAACCCAAATGTATATTTAGTTTCATGTAAAAAAAACCATTAGAAACTTTTTGCAGTGATTTTTAACATGAACCATACACTCTTTTCAATAAAATCCTTCCAAACTTTAGACAGTTATATATAACTTCCCTTATTATTCAATATTTAAAATTAACCCTTTTAACATTTCATTTTGTTTTTCAAAAACCCCTTTCATTAATTAACTATTATTTTATTAATATTGATTTTTTCATATCATATTAATACGATACACACAGCACATGATATTGAAAAAATATTTTTATTATTTTTTAACACAATTTAAGGAGTGGTAAAATTGTAATTTTTATTTTTAACACACATGATGGTGCTTTCATTTTTTAGTTAAGCAATATTATTCTCATTATTCATGAGTAATACAATTGAAGAGAAAAATTATAATTTTATTATTTTTTATTAATTAAAATAGCCTTTTATATTAAAAGAATGAAAAGAAAATATCTAAAAGCTGTCATTGATAAGAATCATATAAATAAAAATTTATCCCTTAATATAAAAAATTATGATATTTTGCAAGTTGTTTTTAAAAAATCGATACAAATCACCAATAGAAAAAAAAAAATCTTATTCTAAAGCAAAACATACTTTTTGTTTGAATAAGTATTGAAAACTTCATTCAAATGAAAAAAATAATAGTTACAAACAAATAAGAGTTTGAAGAAAATAAACAACACAAGTAATGAAGTTAATATGATTTTTTATCAATGATAGCTTTTTAGATTTTTTTTTCATTTGTTTAATATAAAAGGCTATTTTAATTGACAAAAATAATAAAATTATAATTTTTTTCTTAAATTGTATTACCTGTGAATAATGAAAAAAATATTGCTAAACTAAAAAAAAATGAAAGAATCATCATGTATGTTAAAATAAAAATTACAATTTTACCCTTCCTTAAATTGTATTTAAAAATAATAAGAGTATTTTTTTTCATGTTATGTGCCATGTGTATTGTATTAATATGACATGACAATAACTATACTAATAAAATAATAGTTAATTAATGGCAGGGATTTTGAAAAAAAAAGAAATATTAGGATGGTTAATTTTAAACATTGAAAAATGAGGAGAATTATATGCAATTGATTCAAAGTTCAAGAAAAGTTTTATATATTTTAGCCAAATTTTAAAAAATTGGTCCCCCTAAAGAGAGGGATAGATTCGGCTCACCACTCTTTGTATCTCTAACTAATAAATTCAAGGCTTGGTTAATAATCTGAGCAACATGTCAACATACATTTAAGTAATTAGGCCGCATGAAATAGTGGGCTTGTACAATAAATTGAGGGATAGGGAGAGCAGTAGACCATTTGATTACTACTATACCATTGTTTAGTATACGAAAAAGTATTTTTAAAAAAATAAAATATAAAATTTATTTAGAAAAAAATATAATAGGTACATTATATTTACTATTTTGCATTGTAAAGATTTGATCAAATTAAGAAACATGTTAGGGCATACTTTTAAAGAATTAGATCTTCAGAAATACTGGAACTGTGCAATAAAAGGAGTGGTAGAGTAATGAAGGCATTAGGTTAATCTTATTAGCATGTCAATAGAAAATATAAATTTTGTTAGATCTTGGTTAACCTAAGAAGGATGATGATATAAATTTAAGAAACCCAATTTTTTTTTTAATAGAAAGGGCCACGGTTAATATACCATGTAATTACAAACCCATTACTAGGAATCCAATGGTAAAAAGTTTCTACACTTAGGCCTCGTTTGATATAATAGAAGAATTTTTGATAGAATTAGAATCGAAATTAGAATTAAAATCGGAATCAGAATTAGAATTGAATTGAGTTTAAAAGTGTGTTTGGTATGAAGATGAAGTCATGATATAATTTTAATAAGTATATGTATTTAAAATAGAAAAATCAAAACACCCTTTATTTTATTTTTTTAATAAAAAACTTAGCAATTAATAAATAAAGAATGTACTTTTAAAACTTAAAATACCCTTTATTTTATTTTATTTTAAAGACACATAAGCCAATTTCATGTTGAGGTTGTCAATTCCATGACTTCTACAATAGAATTGGATTCCATCAATTTTGATGGAATCAGATTCCTTCAAAAAAGTAATTCCAGCATACTAAACAAGTCAATTGAATAATTCCACGTCTGATTCCATTTCCTACTCACAATTTTAAGATACCAAACATGGCCTTAGATGAGGGAATATTAAGAGTCTTAATAATGAAATCGCTGTGAGCTATTTGATGAGCAAGCAAATTAACACATTAATTCACTTATATGAAAACATAATAAATGGGAACCCGCCAATCTCATGTACGTAGACCTTTTCTTCTTTTCATAATAAAAGAATATTTACAAGGAAAAAACATCAAACTAAAGTTGTAACAAAGAATTAAAATTTAGATAATTCAACAATAATCAGTGTTGCATCGGATGACATGTGTCGTCTTGAATAACTTTAAAAAAGAGAATATATCTTTAATAACTGCAAAAGATTATGTTTCTCTTTAGTATTATTCACTGTATCATCTAATGACACATGCTGTCTTGAACAATTTTAAAAGAGAGAAGATTTCTTTAATAATCACAAAAGATTAGATTTCTCATTTTAATAATATCCACTGTGTGGCATCTATTCATCTAATGACATGTGTTGTCTCAAACAACTTCAAGAGGGAGAAAATATATTCTTAGTAATTGCAAAAGATTATATTTCTCTTTTTAGTATTATCCACAATATAGCATCTAATGATGATAAGTGCTGTCTTGAACAACTTCAAGAAAGAGAGAATATATCTTTGATAGTATTATTCATAGTGTAACATTTTATAACACATGTCATCTTAAACAACTTCAAGAGATAGAAGATATGTTTAATAACGGCAAAAAATTAGATTTCTCTCTTCAATATTATCAACATGATTAGAAGTCTACTCACAATGTCTGAAGAAATTACAACGGAGGACTATGCAAGAAGGAGAAGAATAAAGAAGATGGTGGGGCCTACTGGTTAACTTACCACATATAAGGAATTATATTCCGTAGACAAACTTTTTTAAAAACAAATTTAGTCAAACCAACATGATGTCACTGTAACATTGGGGAATCTAAGCTTGTGCAACGATGGAACCTTAAAGTGAGGACAAAAATAAAGACAATTAATGGGGCATTTAGTCAACGTGAGCAACGTGTCTAAAGAAATTTAAAGAATTAGATCATTTGCAACTGTAAAATTATGCATTAAGAATGGGGATAGAGAATGTGATATTTAAGCCTATTGCTCGCTATATTTTTCTTGAGGACTTATTTATAAATAAAGCCTTACAAATTTGTAAAAATATTTGGAGTCTTTGGAATTTAGTTGTAGACAATTTTTATTAGAGTGACACATGTCCCTTGAAATTTGACCCATAACTTTTCATTAATGATGATTGGTATTGGTACTGGTCGGTGGTCATTGATCCATGATGGGTAATTGTTGATCGGTCAACAAGCTATCAAAGAGAATAATTAATTTTTTTAAAAAATTTAAATTAAATATGAATACCTTTATATGTATAAGTTACTCTTCTAGATTTAAGAGTAAAGTTGAAATTAGATTTACAAGTGGACTTGAGTATTCTATGCCCCTGTCAACTTGTAAATTGAAGAGGTTGACTTGTAATTTAATAGGTAAAATTTCAATACCCAATGCAAAAATTATGTAAATTTAGTTGTAAATAAAAGAAATTGACTTGTAAATCTGTAATTACATATTTGAGTGCAAATTAACCTCTTAGAAATACAAAGCCTTATCTAAGATTACGTAAAATCTAAGATGTTGAAGTCAATCTCATTCATATACAAATCAATTTTTAAGATTTATAATTGAATTTGCATAATTCTAACATTGGTTAATGAAGATTTACATATAGAATTACAAGTAAATCTCTTACATTTACAAAATTACAAGCTCTTCTCTAAAATTTAAGATGCAAACTTTGAAATTTACAAGTTAGCAAAGAGGACAAAGAATACCTGAGTATATTTATAAATACTGGTAAATTTGAGGTTTGCTTGTATATCTAGGATACTGACATGTAAATGTGAATATATTAATATCTAATATCAAAATTTTTACTGTTAAATGTTCAGATTATAGGGATTTAAACACAAATTTTAACTAAATCTCTCATTTGGATATATAAAAATTCATGGATTCAACTTTGATTCATATCCAAATTTTTATTTTATTAAAACTTCTTTCTAATTTAAATTTTTTCCTGAATCCTAAATATTTTAAAATTCAATTCTCCTATGTTCTTCGTGTTTTTTTAACTATTGGACCTTTATTACTCTCGTCTTTTCATTCAATCTCTTGCTCTCGTGACTTGTCTTTCGTCAATTGAAATTATAAGCTAGTTACTTTCAATATCTCTTTGACCTTTTCTTTTAAAAGTTTTTTTATATTATCTAATTTGAAATATAAAATTTTCAAATCTGAAATCCAGACACTACCTAAAATAAGCCCTTGGTGGGCCCAACATAAGTCAAAAGTGCTGGGTGAAAGGAATTTGAAATAATTTTCACAAATTTATGCATCTATTAAAAATTAATTTGCTCATTAGAAATATGTAAATTTTCCTTTTCATATATTTACTTGTTTTTTTAAAAGGATATATCTACATGAAATTGTATCCTTTTTAATCAATTTTTTCTTGATTTAATTAAGTTTGTTATATATATATATATATATTTATTTATAATCTCAAATTGTTAGCTTGCCCTTCTATTTTTGGCCAAAAAAAAAAGCTTGCACTTCTAATTCAAATATGTATAATCTCTTTCTAAGAGTTTTTACATGATCTAATAGAGTTTTAAATATTAGTGTTCGTGCAAATATTTCAACTGAACAAAAAGTTAGCTTAGAACATCAATATCATCCTATGTTTTAAAATTCAGACTGAATAGCGAACTAAAAATGTCAACAGATCACAAGTCTTATGGTTCAACCGATTGGATCGATGGGTGAATTGGTAACCTGATAATTAAATAAAAAAATATTTATATGTTTGCGTGTGTGTGCGAGAAATAAAATAGAACAATACAACATCACAAGTCATTAATACAATAAAAGCACACAATATGCTTGTTCATATGACATTTTCTATACACAAACAAGTAAATTAATAAATCAAAAGTAGACAGAAACAGAAAGTTAATCAAAGCAAAGAATATAACAAGTAATGAAATAAGGAGAAAGAAACTATTCTTATATACCAAAGGAAAAACCTTTCATGATGCAGCCTCAATTTTCATACACAAAAGGAACAATGATTACCTTTACAGCATCATCCTTGTAAGAAAGCTCTTCGTCTTCGTAAATCAGGGCACCAAATAGAGAGTATACTCCTTTAATTTTATTTATAGGGCAAATAGAGGAGAAAAAATATAATCATATTTACAAGACGTTTATCAATTTTTAATGCTCTTCTTTATGTTTGTACCCTTATTAAATGTTTTAAATAAAAATACTAATAATTAAATTTAATAACATTTATTAGAGATAAAAGTAAAAATTTATTAAATTTTAAAACAAATTTAATGTAGTTTAAAGTTTTTTTTTAGTTCTTATAAAACATGTTGAAAGTCACTCATAAATAAAATTAAAAAAATTATTTTCTTTTTGACCTCCCCTTAACTACACAAAACCAAACAAGTGCTTATACGAAGAAAAGCCACGGAAAATGTAGAACGTCAATGTTGAGAAATGAAGAAGCGTGTGTTTGAAAAGAAAAGAAACGCGCGTTTTTTCATAAGCTCCTTCCATCTGCTTTTTACCAAAAATTTGTCAAAAACATTGAGAAAAATTACAAAGACAGGCACAAAAAAAAATTACAAAAAAACACATAATTTAATAAAAATAAAATTAAACTCCCTTCTTTTTCCTTTTTTCTTTTTAATAAAATTTAAACTTTGTATCTTCAAAAAATTAATATTTGGTATTTAAAAATTAAATTATATAGTAATTTATATAGTTAAAAATTAATTCTGATTAAATTATCCAAACATCTTCAATTCTGTTAAAATCAATTTTAAAAAAACAATATCCAAACAAATTGCATTATAACATAATCAATTATGATTAAAATCTATCACTTAATCAATTATTTTTATAATCTATTATACTCAACTGAAATCCAAACAGACTCAAAGACATCATCGTTTGACTCCATTCCATATACACGTGAGAAGTGGGAGCGCTTGACCGAGAGAGCAGTGAGAAGTGAATGTGACAAAGTCTAATGCCAATTTTACCCCTTCTTTGACCCACAAAAGCTCGTTTCAGCTGCTTCTCTTTTTTTAAGGTCTTTAAAACGGCCCCGGTTTGAGGCAAGCCATCCCAACTCAATTACCAAAACAGGCCAAATGATTGAATCAGGCCATTTTTTTCAACAGGTGACAGTCCGCTCAGTCTGACCATCTAAGTCAGTCTAGGTCTTAAAAAACCTTGATATCATCAACAATTCAAGCTTGATATGAATATGAAAAATTAGTGCGAGCACAATAAGCACGGAAACCAATTTGATCTACAATATTTGATCCATTCATAATTTAATTATGAAAATGGGAATTAACTCTAGCATTCACGCGAGAGGCCAATTGAATTCAAATAGACTGTCGATCATCACTGATAGATGAAAAATTGTTCGAGTTTCACCATGATTCCTTAGCATGACGATCTGAAAACTCCAACTGCTTATAAATCAACATCTGCATCTGTCTCTCCATCTATCATACCAGCCTCTACCTCACCCTCAGCATCTGCTTCCAATTGCCCTGCTTCCTGACCAACGTCGGTGTCGGAGCTCTGCTTCTGGAGTTCATCTGGTGTCAGTGTTCCGCCTTGAGAAGCTGGGACAGCGACAGCATCAAACTCCATCGGAGCTGCCGATGCATCAGCTCTTGTACCTTCTCCATCAGCCTCAGCAGCAGGCGCAGCAATCTATTCCAAAAGGCAAAACTGACATTGAGGAACCCAAGTAACTAGGGGGAATTCATTCAGACATTGAACTCTGTTACTCTCATGCTAAATAGAACAACAAAAACAAAACCTTGCTCCTTACTTTGGAAGGAAGAGAGGGAGAGAGACAACGAAGGGAGAAAAGCAGAACAAGGTACATGCAGATCACAGAAAACACAGAACAGCACAAAACAAAATACTTCTCCAATTCTATTTATAAGACATTGAGAGAATTTTTTCAATCTTATTTATAAGTTGTATCATTAAATTTTTATCAAAAATTTCCTCCTTAACCCGCATTATATGCTGGTGAGAGAAAGTATAAATATTTTACTAAGGATAAAGTTGGAGAATTGTTAAATTTAAGACAGTGAGTTTTAAGGTCTTCCTTAGTTTAAATAAAATATGTTAGAAATGATTTATAAATAAGACCGTAAGAAATAGCAAACAAAAGGTAGTAGGACCAAGAAAGTCTGGGTTGAGGCTGATTTCAAAGTCCCAGAGTGTGGGATGTGAATCACAAGGTCATTCATCCTTTCTAAGTAAAAGGCTGGACAGACTCGCTGACTTGAGAAAGGAGCGATAGGCAACATTTGGTGCACCGAATTGAAGGAAATGAAAAATAAAAAGAAAAACGGGATTGAGGATAAAAATAACTGTTGTGCTTCAGCAACTAAAAAGATGATACAAGAGATGGAAACTATTCAGTAATGCTTGCAAAAACATATTGAGCATTGCAAAATGTTTAAGTAAAGAGAATCAAATTCTTTTGCTTTAACAATCAATGCCTCAACAATTACAGTGAGGGTAACAAGGTTGCGAATTGGAATCAAGCTCCTCACCCGAGGAAGCTTTGTTTTATCTACATCACACCCTCCTTGGTGTGGCCAGCTGGTTCTTGTGCTATTGAAAGGACAAATGTCCACACCTTATTTCTACAATTACCGTTGCTTAGTTTCTGGTCTTGTGACCCTTTCAGTCTGCCAAAAATTATCAATTATTTAACTTGTCAATATGGAAACCCAATTTCCCAACCTATTTTTTTTCCCCCTATAACAAGGGGAATATCAAGTGTTCACGAAGACACTCCATGCTAAAGGTCAAGAAGATGGGACCATGGATTGTCCCGAAACTGAGTTTTGAAATCATCTGATAAAGCCTTTTGAAGAAAATTCACCCAGTTAACAAACAGATGAGGACACAAAAGCAAGTATAGAGGATCCAATGAAAGGCCTTTTCTTTCACATTTATAACTAACGGTTTAAGCTGGCTCTACTCTGCTTCCCCAACAGAATCTCCCTAGCTCTGTTGCAATTTGTTTCCAATTGAATTTCATATCTGAACCTTAGACAATGTTCATGAAATTACTGGAGTAGAACGTAGTTCAAACATTATATAAAATCTAGCATCATTGATTGGAGAGCCTAGTTCTCAAGGCTGTTTGCTAGTGCATGCTCTTGATATTTTCTTACTCCCAATTCATTAATGCAATTGTTTTTCATAGGTGTCAAAAGTCAACATTCAGAAGATATTTAGGCAACAATATCAAATTGAAGTGTTAGCGCCGTCTCCATATAATCCTTGAATTAGACACGCAAATGTTTGGGACTATCTAAAAGTTCTGCCAACAATTTGAGGCAAGAGGGATGATATGATATAAACAGGAGCAACCAACCAGCAAAACAGAACTACTACTTCCTTCATTATCCACTGAAAAAGATAATGTACTTTCAATTGGTCTGACGTGCAAGACTAAAAATATGTTTCAAAACAAAATTGGTAAGCTAGATGTGGATTAAGAAACCTGATTTCCCTCAACATGATGAACAGTGCCTTTTGTTTCTTCCTTTTTTGCCCGTTTTGCCCTGTCATTTGGTTTAGCTTGATATTTAGATCGAACGTCAGGTGGCAAAAGTTCCAGCGGGACAACCCCTTCAATGCCATGGTCTGTAAACTGCAACCAAAATCAACCAAGTTCATTGAACCTAAAAAATTTAGGTAGATTAAGACATCAGTGGTTAAGGAATTTATCTTACCCTAGAAAATCCCTCCAAGTCTTGTCGAGCTGAAAAACGAAGACCTTTCCAACAATAAACCTGCATTTAACAGAACAAAAAATATACTTAACATGCTTATTAGTGCATGATAATTTAAGCAGACCATTTTAAAATTCATAACCTATTTCATCAAATATAGCTGTTCTGATTTAATGCCATATACATAACTCCGCATAACAATTAAAATGATAAAATCATGATAGCAAACCCACAAATGAAAGAACTCAGAGCCACAAAAACACACCAAATGAGTTCTATGAACTTTTGAAAAGGCATTCCTATTTCAACAGATATAGAAATCAGAAATCTAGGCGTAAGAAGTTAACAACTAAACCAGTAAAATGAATTTTTTTTTTTTTTTTGGCTGGTTGACCTGAAGGGTTTTAGCTGCTTTACTACTGATCACATGAAGAATAATATGATTTCAACATTAAGAGAAACTGTCTTTTTGGGGCCATTGGAGGCAGCATAATGGAGTATAGCTTATCAACCTTCCATAAACTTTATCCACCTGTTTCCTGCTGCAGATAAAATATGAACTTCGGATGTCCAAACTAAATCAGAGGTACCCTAGCTCAAGCTTGATAATTGCAGATGATGCAACTATCACAAGCAATTAGCTAGTTGTGTGGCTTTGGTAGAACGCCACATCTCACTATCTCAGTCAGTCACGCACATTCAAGTATTAAGCAAAACTACTCAGTTTGGAATGGCAGAAACATGTGTACAATCTTACACTGTTCTATGGTGGTAGTCACAGAAAGAGAGAGAGAGAGAGAAGAACAGAGATAAGACTGAGGTATGAAAACTGAGATTTTCATTCAGATTAGGCATAAGCCACTGAGTTTACACATATCCCTTTTAACGGCTACTGATCATCCTAAGATATACTGATCACTAACTAACCTATAAATTTATTTACAAATTACACATCATACACAACCTTGTGTTGTGAAAAGCCACCTATATTCCGCATATATTGCTAGTGTGTTGGTAAGTTCCATCTAGTATCTATCAAAAAGTTCTTTCACTTTAATTATTTATATGGTTTTTATTAGGATAAAATAACTTATTTAGTAGAGGATATAAGAAGTATAATTAAGAGGGAATATCCACCCACAAAAAATTAACAGAAAACATGAAAATTTATCACATTGAACATTAATTAGAAAAATCACCTGAATAAAAGCCTACATTAGAACTTCCATTGAACGGATAACAGTAGGGCGCTCTCTCTCACAATGAAGAGCATGAACTCAAAATAGTCCTTAAAGATCCTACCATTGAGCTAGCATTCCAAGGACTCAATTAAAACAACACTAAGCATTTCCACAGGTCCCTAATAACACCAACAGAATCATAATACATAATATTCCAAGATCAGCTTGCCAAAGAATGCCAATCAGCAAACACTGTATATTCCAAGCAATTAAGGAATCACAAAGCACATTATTTAGAATCTATACATTGTATGCCAATTATGGAAAAAAAAGATGCGAGTGGTGTAAATAACCAACTTGATGAAGAAACTTCTACAAAAACTATGCCTTGCCATTAAGTTATCTAGCGGACATCCATAAAAATAACCCAAGATTTAAAAAATAAGAGTAAATTACAACTAATTTTCTTACTTTTGCTGAAATTATACAAAATTCCCACATATTTCCAAAGTATAAATTGTTCTCCCTTGAAATCAAAAGTCACATAACACTTTAACATTAGTCCCTTTTTTACACTACAATATACTACATAACCACTTCTACATATTTTCCTATGGAGGGTGTTTAGTAACAAGAATAAAAACAGGAATTTAATTGTATTTTGAAAATAGAAGGGAGGTTTGTATGTTTTCAATAAAAACTCAAGGAAAATCTGAGTACTTTACTACCCAAAAAAAAAAAAAAAAATCAGGACATGGATGTCAAATCTGATAATGTTTAAAATTACTAATATGAAATCTTAATCAGGGACGAACCCGGTTATTCTTGCGGTGATATTCAGCTTCTATACCCGCTGATGGATCCATCTGAAATTTTAAAAAGCAAAGGATTCAAGACTGATAGTTCAAATACAAAAGGAAAAAAAAAAGTAATCCTTATATGAAGAGGAAAAATTGCCATAACCAATTCCTAGCTGTTAAAGGAAAAGGGAAAAATCTTGGAATTGAAAACTCAATGCACACGATGAAGCTCCATGAGAAGATAAGCAGCTTACATCTTCAGCCAAAGGTTTCCAGTATTCCATAATTGAAGGAGTTCTAACACGCTGAGGATCAGTTAAAGCATTCTGACCATTCAAGAAATAATGTAGTAGTAATCAGTTGAATAGGCAGCAGTGCGTCCATGATATGACCAAAAGAAAGGAATTAATCCATCAAAGAAACAACTTTCCCATCAATCGGACAAAATAAATTTCAGTCATAAATTACACCATGGGCCAGCTAGGCAATTTTTAACATGGTGAAACAAAAGTACGAACTGCTGAGAAGGAGGCAACCACGTGACACATGCAGTATGTGCATTGCAAATAAAGCCATAAATTACACCACCTTGCATGATACTTCCATTTCCGTACTTTTCCAATTCATCTACTGATTCACATAGACGGTCTTGTGTACTGCAGTGTCTTTTATTATTCAAATTACAAAACACAATTTTGATAACCATTGATTTATCTAAATTGTAGAGGGAGTCGGGATATAAGTACATTCAAAACCAGCTATCCAGCCACTCTTGACATGGGGTGGAGATTCCATAAGGTTGGCCTCTGCAAAATTAATTCCTTGCTTTCTAACAAAAGAAAAAGTGAGAAAGAAATGGAATAATTCACATACCGGATTTTGATCAGCCCACCTCCACAACTGAGAGAGTTCTTTGTTGCCCAATCTATATCTTGGCCTACTGGAATTCAAATAAAGAACAAATTTGTAAGCAGACCCAGCATAGCATAGCAAAAGCATTTGCTATACTTATCAGCCAGCACTCAAGCATTCAAAAAGAAAATGAAAACAACAACTTGAATATGACAACAGCCCTGCTTTGAATGTGAAAAGTTGACCAAGAATCCCAAAAGACTAGGCATCACGCAAGAATGCAAAGACCAAACAAAGTCATGCAAATTAACCAACGGCATGTTTGATACGTTGGAGTGAATCATAATGGAATAAAAAGATCAATGGAAATGAGAATGGAATGAAATGATATCAATAAATCTCAACAAGTATGTTTTAGATAGGAAAGTGAATTACTGTTATTATATTTTGAGTACAGAGAGAATGACTAAGTTACCCTAAATGTTCAAATTGACTTATAAGTATATCGTCCCAAATAAAACAAATTTTTTTAATGTCAAATTCTACTTACATATAATTAATTTTCTTTCATTCCAGTATAATATTAACTTGTAAAAAGAAAGGAGAAAAGCATGACCTCTTGATTAACAATATTCCTAAAAGGTTTGTTAATGATAGAGCACAATAATGTCGTTCAATACATGTAATTAATATTAATCAAGCCTTAATTAGGTTAAGGCTTGTTATTGTTGTTGTAGTAAAAGAAAGGAGACAAGTTATTGATATGTGCTATCAATTAATGTATCACAAGTCAACTAATGTAGTTGTTCTATATATATCATTTCATCCTTCAGCTAGAGTGTTATTCCCCTAGCCCACTGATGGTGAGTGCATGTATTGGTGAACCTTTTAAGATATCTCAAGATTTTATTCATGGCCTCTAAGTGAACATACCTTCATTAGTGCATGCGTTGACTGATAACACTCACAACAAAGACAATGTCAGCTTTAGTATGTGAGAGATAGATCAGTTTACCAACCAGCTTGAAGAACTTTTTCTTTGTAAACTAGTTCTCCCATGTCTTCACACCCTGCTTATATGGATGTATCACTTAATTTACATCCCAGCATTCCTATTTGAGTCAAAAGATCAAAAGCATATTTCCTTAGTGAGATGCTAATTCCTCTCTTTGATTAAAGCAGTTTCCATTTCTAGGATGTACTTCATATGGCCAACATCCTTAACTTCAAATTTAGAAGCAAGAACCCTTTTTAATCTCCATTTCCTCAGCATAAACTCCGGTTACAATGATAGCATCCACACAAAAGAATATTCTTTTGTTCTCTCTATGGTTATAAATCATAGTGCGATTTCTTTGGCCTTGCTTGTTTGTCCTCTTTCCTTAATACTTCTGTAAATCTTTCAAATCATGCCCTAAAAGACAGCTTGGGCCCACGAAAGGACTTTTTGAGTTTACAAACTAGATTTTTCCGACCCATTTCACTAAATTCAGATTACAAAGTTATTTAGACTTGTAACATATCCTTATTGAGAAAAGCACTCTTCATATCAAGTTGTTATAATGGCCGATCCATAATTGTGGCCAAGAATAATTGTACCTACATGCATGGTGTTTAGTTTGCCCACTTCCTCACTCCACATAGGCCTAGAGTGGTTATGGATAATTCTTCCCTCTTCTAATTCTTGAGTCCCCTTGATGACATCATAGGATCCATGATAGGTAGAGAGAAATAAGAAAGAAAAATCTTTATTAAAATATAAAATCAGAATCTAACTTCATAAATTAATAAAGATAATTGGAAAATCTTTAAAAGAAGATGAGCAAGAAGTTTAAACTCATACAACTAATAAAGCCCAAGGAGAATGTCCATTAATATAACAAAATAATGATTGTATTTCCAGAAGGGAAAAATAACTAGAAATTCCTTAAAAGACTCCCATTAATCCATAACTCAGATAATGGCGCATAGATACCTGAAATAAATAAAATAATTGACTTAATCTACAAGTACCCACTACTCCTAAATTTGAGGGACAATCAACAAAACAGAAAATACCCTAACTAACAAATATTAAATAGAAAATATCTAAAATAATATTTATTCCTAATATATCTCTAACTCCCCAAATCATGCACTATCCCATACTGCTTGGTACTATATCATGACACCTGTTTATGTCCACCCGTCAAAACGCCCCAATTCTCCTTGCTAATGGAAATTGTTGCACTCAAATCCTACTACAACAGAGTCCTTGCTCAATGCAATTTTTCTTTCTTTGTTTTTTTTTTTTTGGGGGGGGGGGTCTGAGTATGAAAAATAGTGGTGAAAAGAGAATAGAAGAAATAGAAAGAAGAGAGAAGGAAAGAAAGAGAGAAAAACACAGAGAAAGACAAGAAGTTCTGAATAATACTCTGAATTTCATCAAGCACATCATTTGATTACAATTAGGATCCCTTATATAGGTTCCTAAGTTCTTTATCCTTAATATCAACTAACCAACAAATTACCCAACGAATTAACTGACTGACTGATTTATTTAATTAATTACAAATTACATATCGTTCTCCTTGGCTTTATTAGTTGTATGAGTTTAAGATTCTTGCTCATCTGCTAAAGATTTTCCTCCATCATTATTGATTCATGAAGTTAGATTCTGATTTCATAATTCTAATAAAGATTTCTCTTCCTTCTTTCTCTCAACCTATCTTGGATCCTATCAATGCCACACCTTCTACATCTATTCATCCCCTACTTATACAAATGGCATGGTAGGGCTCCCCTAACCAACTAAAAACACCTAACTCCTACTAATTCCATGTAACAATATATATTATTCACATATTATGTATTTTTATTTTCTATTTATTTGAATATATTGTATTTTATAATATAAAAAATATATGTACTTTTATTAAAATTAGAGTAGGCCATGTGCATTTGTAAGGAGCCAAGGATGAGCTGCTACTATTCAACTAATAAACAGTGTCTCCTCATACCTCATATTTTATATTGATAATCTATGTATTTTTTCTTATCTTCCTGAAAGTTCTAAAATACCTTTAATCATAAAGCTGTTATGACACAAACTAATTTTTCAAATAATAAGCATACCGCTTCTTGGCCCCATCTTGCACTACTTTCTTCTCCATTGGCTGTTTTTCATATGGCGGGCAGCCATCACGTTTCCACCATACCTAAAACAGAGAAGTTGTATCTTTCGTTAAACAGTCAACACACGTACTTAACTGCTATAGTCATAAATTCAAATCCAGTGTTTCTATCAACGACAAAGACAGGGAGAAGGAGAATTTACTAGTAAGCTTACCCAATTCTTTTCTCGTTCCAGTACATGCTCAATTTTATGAAGAAATGCCCTCCCTTTGGGTGGAGTTAGTTCAAGAAGCTTTTTAACACGCTCCTCACATGATTTTATCTCTTCTTTCTGAAATTAATCAGGATATATATTGCATCAAGTAAACTGCAAGTGCTACCAATTCATTTAGTAGGACTTGAAAGTACATAAGGTGGCAAAAACAACAAAGGAATGAGCGGTAAACTAAAGAAGTACAGTTTTGCTTCTTCATCAGATAAACCACACTAACCATGCTTTCAGATGGCAAATCCTTGTCACCTTTTCCAGGAGCCTAAGAGCAAGTAAAATAGCAATCAGAAACTAATAAAATGGATTACATACAGTGATAGGCTATAATTAGAACATTCTAGGCCTTCATAATAGCGTAAGCATTTGTAATGAAATGGCCCTTAAACATATATGATCAAGCAGTCAGGACTAAAGTCTGATACTTGCAGCCAATCATCTCCTAATTAGAAATTAACTTTTAGCACAAGATCTGGGCTGGTGGTTTGCCCATTCTTCAAGCACAGAAGGGCCTTCATGTGGAAAGAAGTGTTAGACAGAAGGCCTTCACTTATGACTTGGGGAGGAAATGATACTTGACACAGTGAAAAGTGAAAATATCTTTACAGAGTGTAGTCTTCAGAAAATTATTACCTTCAAATAGTCGAACAATATGAGACACTGGACAAGAATATGGCGTCGAAAACTTGGGTCTTTTAACTATTTAGCACCACCACCGGAAAACATGCCAAAAAAAAAAAAACAGAGAAGATTTGGAATCAGGACAAAAACAACATTCTAAATAATCAAAACATATATTTGTATCATGAAGCATCAACTCTACATCAAATTCTGTACCTCTAGGCCCATTAGCTTACTGCTAGTGAGATATTTTATACTAAAATTAGCTGACTCTTCCTCCAAATTATTAGCATCTCCTACTTCATCACTTAAAGGTTGTGCTTCAAAAGTATTCAGCACGACCTTTATATCAGAAAAATTTACAATGTAAGACATCAAAAACAAAGAAAATGTTATAAATCGAAAATCAATATAAAAAATAAAATAAAATAAAGGACAACCGTTAAGCTAGATGTAAATTTCTGCCACTTTGTCGGAGCAAGATTTAGAGAATTCGGATTAGAAAAATATTCCTGCACCCAATAGATTAAAAAATACATTAAAAAAATCCAAGGATTTCTTCTGAAGCACACGGTTAAAGAATCTGAATCTCCTGTAATAATATAAACTAAAGGACCTCCCATAAGAAATTATTCCGTGTCAAGACACCAAAAGAACAATGCTTGTACTCACTCAATGACTTAAACGTCAGCTTATGAATTTCAATCTAAGAACCATGGACACTAACACAAGACAGGACATGCAATTCATGCAATCCTGGGGACAGGAAAGGAGTGGCGTCATGCCCCAAATTTTGAGTTTCTTTTCATTCAAGTCATCTCATTCATGAACAGCTCATGTTAAGGCTTCAAATGAAGTGCAAGTATTATATATTAACAAGCACACCTCCAATCAGTGTAAGAATGAATCATTTAGCTTAGTTAATAACAACAGTAAAGCACACTAGAGTCACTGAAAAAAGAAATGAAAAGGAAAAGGAAAACCAGAAAAGAGATCAGACACACTTCTTCACACTAGCATTCAAAAGGTGCTAGCACTCTCCATTACCCATTCCTTGCCTTCTCCTTCTCTGTCCCCGCTATATTTGTCAGAGTTTGTTACAATGTCCTCACCAACTCTCTATGCCCGTTCATCACCCCACCTCTCTCTCTTCTTTCTGTTTTTTTCAAGCTTCATCGGGCTGGGCCATTCAGACCCATCAACATCACCACTGAAATATTGACAGAAGGCAACTGCCATAAACACCTTTTACTGACTCACAAGTAGCATGCTAAGCCAGCAATTAACAGAGGTCAACAGATTTTGTAATCTTATATTATTATTATTTTTTGGTAATTTAGATTGCAATGCACAAAGATAAATACTGTTCATAAACTAACTATTCACTTGAGATAGAGTCAAAGACACATCTTTCAAGACACATTATTTCAGGGAGATGACCTACCTGTAAGCTCCAGAAAGTCTTATAAAAATTGAAATCTATAGATATACCTGGAATAAAAGGGAAGGGAAAAAAGAGAAATAAGAAGCTGGAATCAAGTGAGCAAACTTTACTGAAGCACTCATGTTACGAAGAGATCAGAAAAGCAAAAGCCAAGATTGTGTAGCAAGGATGCACCTTCAGGGGGGTCTTTCTCATATTTTGTTTCATTTGATGTGTTAAAAACTCCTTTAATATTTAAGGCTGCAAAAATTTACCAAGCAAATCGAATGACAGAGCACTCAGGAAATAATCAAAACCAAAATTGAAGATAGATTTACAGATATGTACCTGAACGCTCAGATAGTGGGAAGAAATGAGCCAGAAATGTGAGAATTCGTCCACAAAAGACCACATCATTTGCCTATTAATATCAAAACTGATACATTCAAATTGAGTTATTGACGTAGAAATTTGTTTCACAAATCCTTATATCATATTGGAAAGTTATTCATGCACCACAAATCATGAAGTTTAAGTACGAAGGATCGATCCTACAAAGAAACAGTGAAATTAATGATATTACGTATAGGATACAAGCAGGGTGGATGAAATGGAGAACAGCATCAGGAGTTCTTCGTGATTGCAAGATCCCTAATAAGCTTAAAGGAAATTTTATAGTTCCGCTATAAGGCCAGCAATGCTATATGATAGTGAATGTTGGGCATTAAAGGGGAAACATGAGCATAAAATGAGGGCTTGCAAAGAGGAGGATGCTGAGATACAAAGATGGATAAGATAAGTAATGACCATACAAGAGGAAAAGTTGGTGTCGCATTTATTGAGAAGAAGATGGTAGAATTTATATTGTAAAAAAATCATTTAAGATGATTTGGCCATGTGTAAAGAAGGCCATTGGAGGCACCAATGAGGAGGTGCGTGCAGATAGACTTTAACCTTATAAAGAAAGGTAGAGGGAGACCAAGAAGAACACTTAAAGAAGCCATTCATTAATCAAGATCTCTCAATTAATGGCTCATCAAAGAATTGGTCTCAGACATGGCATAATGGCATCATGTGATCCTTATAGTCGACCCCACTTAGTCAGATAAAGCTTTTGTCGTTGTTGTAGACTTGCATCATATTGGTTTTCACATAAATTTAAATAGAATCATAAAATAAGTGAAACAAGTAAGGAAACTGTTGTACATTTGTAATTACGAGAGCAAATCAATGTTTGTTACATACTTAGTTAAGTGACCATTCAGGCTGATTTAGTTTGCTATATTGAGCCTATAAATAAGATACACTCAGCTATCCTGTATTCAGATTATGATACGAATAATTCAGGGTGCATTAGTCAGACTCTGTTTCCCCTGTTTCACTCTCAATTCCTTCCTGTTCCTCACTCAATTCTCTCTCAACACCCTCTCTTTCCCTTCTCTCCCTCCTATCAGAATAACAAACATCTAACAGAAACTGTCGGTTTTTTTCTTCTTTAAATCTAAAGAGCTGACTGATTTGAGTATTGGATTTTAGTCTCAATTCTTCACTTGCAAAGCATGTCAATTGATGAAAGATGCTGGAGTGATTACAGGAGTAAAATGTATAGTAAACTGAGACAGTAAACTGGAAAGAGAGGAAACTAGCTCTATTGCTTAAATTTTAAGGATGCTATGAATATTACTAGGATTGAGTGTACCTTTGACAACCGGCGAAGAAGCTGATTGCAGGTCCTCAGCATCACAAGTTTTCCCCGAGCAAAAAGTTCTTGCTGTATGTGATGCAACCATAAAAAATCCAGACAAATAGAGGGTCACAAGATGATAGCTATCAAATAAATAGTTATTAAAGTAAAAGAGATAATAACAAACAAGAAAGAAGCCGTATAACATATACACAGCACACACCTTTCCTAAAATATCTTGTTTGCTCTCAATATACCCAAAAATGTCTTTGCAGTTTTTCATTGTAGACATTTCTGTTAAGTCTTCCAACAGCTGAAAAATCATGCCACCTTCAACATGTTCTTTCTCACAAAGATATAGCACTATATCTGAAAATGGCAGAGAAACATACCCAAGGATAAGAAGAAGATAGAGTTTCACACTTGATATAAAAAACATGCCACTAAAATAAGCCGACCCAAATTGGAACAACAAAGCAGAATTGAAGCATGAATTTCTCAAAAGCTGACCAAGGTAGCAAGCATGAACCATCAAGTTGATTCATTCAGAAAAAACACAGTACGAGATGTCCAATCATGCACTAAAAATGCTGCAAACTTAATTCTAGACCCCCTTCCTTTGTATCTATTCCAACCATCCCAGCATCACGGAATGGACAAGATAGGAACCCTAAAACGGTCTTTGTGATGAAGCAAATACTAATAGTTGATAAGAAATTATCATACAAGTTCACTACTCAAAACCTTAAATGCTAGTACTCCTGTTTAGCACTCTAGTCAATGAAAATCCATCCCTAATTCAAGAAAACAATAACACAACTATTGTTAGAAGCTTTATAATTGCACATGTTTATCAAGGTGAAGAATGCCAATTACACAAGATGTTGCCATGGGAGACATTCACTGCAAAGTTCCAAGTAGCAATACACAAGAAAGAAAAACAATTTATAAACTACTAAAATAACTGGTAGATTAGAATGTGATTGCTAGATATTATAATAGACTATTTTTAGGCCTCCATTTAATAGCTTAAGCTTTTGTGTTGAATTATTCCTTGACATGATATCACAGCCTTCATAACCATAAGGTCAAGAATTTGATCCTTGACTCCTTCAATCAGCATAAATTTTGATAAGCTGATTTCCCACACACTACACACCCAGAGGGCTTTCCTGTGAGGGAGTATGTTAGAGATTTCATAAAGTAATTCACGGGCTAGCTGAATTTGTGAATTTAACTAGTCCTCGGCAGTATTTTAATTTTCTTTTGTCAACAATTACTAGCTGAATCCATCATATGTTGTTCAACATGCATGTCGTATTTGTAAAACATAATCTAAAATGCTTAGTCCTTAGCTTTTTTTGGCTGTAGCGTCTATTTATTTAAAATTCCTCCAGCTTGTTAACCAGTTTTCTCATATTTATATTGTTTATTTACATTTTTTGGGATAAACTACGCAGCTCAATTCCAGTTCACCCATTACAGTTCTAATTAGAATAAGGAATACACACTGCATCATTCAAAGTTAAAAAATTGCTCTGAAAAAAGAAAAAGGAAAAGGAAAAACACAAGACTGAACAGTTTGGCAAGTTAAATCATGTTCTAACCAAGAAGGCGAGGAATGTGACCCTGAGTTGTCTCATTGTCATCCATTGATTGTCCATACAGCATTATCTGCTCTCCTGACTGCACTGCAGAGGACTGTGAAAAAGTGCAAACGAACAATACATATCATAAATAGACATAACTCAGATGATAAAGAATACTGGCAGAAGGAAAAGTAAATAAATAAAAGGAAGAATTATATCTGCAACATAACTTGATGTCCATGAACCATTGTTTTTGGCACAATAACATTTTTTGTTTACGCTTCACTTATAAAGAAGTAGACAGAGTGTCACAATGGCATAAAATATTCTGCATTAGCACGCTATATAGCACCATTTAAGAATCGAAGACTACTTCAATACTTGAATAAAGAAAATAAAGACAATTCTTAGGAGGCAAGTCTAAGTAACTAATATCAAGTTGATCAAAGAATCTGTCATGACTTACATAGATTTCAGCAAAGCAAAGGATTATAAGGTGACTAAATATGATATTACTGAGAAAGGCAATATAAATTGAAGGCCAATATAAAAAAAAATTAAACAAATAAAGTAGAAAGGGATCAAGGGCAAACAACATATAGTTGAACGGACTTTATAGAAAGAATTATGTTCATAAGTTTCTTCACATTTGAGTGGTTCCCATGTTGCTTCATTCCCCGCCTGACAGAAATATATGATTGGATCTCCCACAAGAAAACTTGCAGCGTTTCTTCAGACTTTTAATCATTTGAAGAATACATGAAAAAAAGGAGGGAATCTCCACAACACTGTCAATTGTAGTTATTAAAGATATTTGACATGACATATGATACGAACATTAGAATTTTGCCACAAAAATTAACGATGAGGTATAATTCTGATTTGGTTTTCTTTAATGATAAAACAAATCAATATTATCAATTCAATCAGTGCAATAAACTACTAAGACTAATATATGAACGAAGGCAGTAGAAAGACATGCCACTAGTTCTTGAAGCAGCATCCGTAGAATATTTTCCAGGAACTGATTCTCGTCTTGAGCCAATTTTGTTTGCCTCTGTCAAACAAAAGGAGTTTAAAGCTTGACTTGTATACAACAAATAAATGATCACTATTTCATAAACTAATAAAGATATTTTTTTTCTTTCAAGATTATTGTTCTTTCATTTTGAAGGCTTAACAGTCTCTGGACATGCATACCAAATAATGCACAAGCTTATTACTTACCCAAAAACTGCCCCTGCCCCCACCTCCGCCCCTTCTTTTATTTATGGTATATTAAATTCTGTGATCTAATCTTTTTAAACTCTACACATGGCTACACATCTTAAAGATTCAAGTCACCAGAAGAAAATCTATAACTAATTACAGAAACTACAAAACAGCATATTTCATCAAAACGCTAGTTGAAATCACTAGTACATCTGGGAGTCTATACTCTATAGGCTAGTTAGTGAAACAATGGTTATTTTCCATTAACAGGAGAGGAGCTGGAAACTCGAAAGATTGGATAAGAAGAGATACCTGAGGCTTTATCACTTCCTGAACAGTCTGCAAAGCAAAACTTTCAGGCGGGCCAGGCTCCAGTATGGCCCTTTTAAACACTTCCTGAAGTCAACAAAACGAGACGCTTAATTACAGTAATCGAAAACAGAATAAACGATAACAAGGTTCCACGCGAATTTGGCCCTTCGTAGTGCATATATTTTGATTTGACCACCAAATTCTGAACCAACGACAATGTATCACTCAACAAGCGAAACCGAACTCATAGGCAGTATTTTCTAAGAGATAAGTAGAAGAACAAGAAAAAACTTACCATACTAGAGTTTCTAAGTCAATCTCTCTGAAAGAACCACCAACTCTTCAGCAGAAAAGAACAAACTTTGTACTCAAAAAGCCTCTTGCTCTCCAGGAGCAGAGCTCCCAAATTCTAATTAAGAGAGAACAGAGAGGGGGAGACAGCTATTACAAGCAAATCAAATATGTTCAAAACTCGGATCCACAAATAGGACAAAGCATTTAAATTTTCTCAGAGAACCAAACCAAGAATGCAACGATAATTAGGGTTTCTCTTTGCCTCCGAAAATCAAAAGTGATGTTTCGTAGCTCTAGGGGCGAAAAGCACCAAAATTGGAGGAAAACGAAGTAAGGAAGCCGAGAGCTTGAAGGGAATGACTAAAGAGAGCTTAAGATAATATGATAACGATGTGAAGAGAAGTGGAAGTGGACAAAGGCACGCAAGATGAACTGTTCATGGCCTTGGAGCCCAGTCTCACTGCACAGATTTGCTGTGGCATGGAAGAAGAAAAATATAATAATTTAATCAACGAATTATTGAATTAATTAATTAATTTGAATTTAAGAAGTGTTATTGGTCGAATTTTTTTATATAAAAAACTTATACTGCCTCGGTTTTTAAAAATTTATATATTTAAAAATGTAAAATATTTTTAAGTTTTTTAAAATGTATTAACTAATTTAAAAAAAATGTTCCTATTAAATAAATTATTTTATATTTATTTTAAATAAATCATTTTATATTTATTTTAAAATAAAATATTTTATTAAATAAAAATAAATATAAAAAGATAGGATTGATTTGAAAATAAATAATGACAAGAATGACTTCATACAATTACATTGAAGATGAAGGCAATTTTTTTTTTTGGATGAAAAGAAGTTCTATTAAATCATTGGACTATACAAAAGATACAGTAAAAGAAAGAATAATGAGACTAACACCTTTTACCATTTATCCTCCTTGAAATTTTAAGAAATATATTTTATTTTATTTTATTTTATTTGGCTAAGGGGTACATTTTATTGAACGTGAATGAAATATAAAGAACATCATACCCATTAAGCCCCTTAGGCTATCTAATTTTTAACTTATAGAGAGTGTTTTAGATATTTTTTTAAAGTTCAAAATTATTTGGATATAAAAAAACTTTGAAAGTTAAAAATTGTTTGGACATTAAAAAAAAAAATGAGATGAAGGTCTCTTTATGAATGTGCTTTGAGAAAAAAGTATTGAATATGAATTTACTCAATTTGATCTAAGTGTGTTTGGAATAAAAATTGCAAAACTAAAGTTAAAATGAATTGAGACTTGCAAACTAAAATTATGATAAAAATTTGTGATTGTAACAAAATTTATATTTGAATATCTTCTCTTTAAAAAATAAAGAATTAGATAGACAAATTGAAACTTGTTTAAATGATACTTCCTTTGTTTCTATTTGAAGGAGAAAAAATTATATTACACAGTTTAAAAAATTAATTAACTATATTAATTATCTCTAAAAATAAAAAACTTAGACTAAAATATCCTTCATTAATTGTTCCTTAAGATTGTGAATGATGAAATTATGAGGGATAATTTAAAAAAATTATAATAAATGCTTATTGAAAAATATAATTTTACTTATATAAAAAAAAAAGCTAAAAGTGATAGTTTTTCTTTTAAATTAAAAATAGAGGGAGTATAATTCAAAAACCAATTTAGATATATAATGATAAAAAATGGCATGAAATTTATAATATATATATATATATATATTTGTAACTAATGTGATAGTTTTTGAAAAACAATTATTAAATTTTTTTTTGGTAAAAGAATAATAGACTTTAAATAACAATTTCTTTACAAAGGCAAATTGAAAAATCTAAGATAAATTGACAAATTTAAAAAAAATTAACATAGTATAATACATTAAATAAGGTAAAATATTTAATTTAGTTGTAGAAAATCAACCATCAATTTTGTGATTATAATTATTAATTTCATGAGATTAGGCAGATGAATAACTTAATTTTATAATTTGCGAACCAGAAATTAAAATTTGTAGTTGATCAGAATCGGATATGCCATTTGCATGCAACAAAAAAATATTTATTAAAAAAAGATATCAAACAGGCTCTAAATAAAAGTATAGATACACAGTTTAGTTGGCCACTAAAGATCATGAAAATTGCTCAAGGTTCAAATAACATACAAATAAGGATCATTAAACTTCAAATTTCAATGTGATCTGTGATTATGGATCCTCTAAATAATTTGTAGCTATCAATACATTGAATCTTCCAAAACTAAAGCACACCTACAGTGGCAGATGCTGATGACTAGGATAAAACTCTATTCACAGTCACTCAAGCTTAGCCACGTTCTTGGAATTTGCATGCTCAACACTTTTGAAAATTGAAGCACATCTATGGTGGCGGATAATCATGACAAGAACAAAAACGTTGGCTGCCAAAAACAGCAGGCCCGCTGCCCAAAGCTGTAAAAAGACATTTTTACCCTTGAACTCAAGAAGGTAACCCCACAATAACCAATGGATCTGAGCTCCAATCCACAAAAGAATGCATGACAAGCCTTGCCATTTGAGTTTCATCTTGCTCCATGGAAGTATTAGAGGCAACAGGCAAAAGAACCAAACAAAGTATTGTGCAGTAATCACCTGCCAAAACAAAAATTCATGCAACAGTGTGCAGAAATCAGATGGGCATATTGAAGGGCTCAAATGTATGAAGCTTGGGACTAGGATCCTCTGTATCCCTCCCTATATTTTCTTCTCTTGCTAAGATGATTTGTCAAATCAAATAATATACATCTTGTGGCAACAAATAGAAATCAAACAGTGAAAAAATAAAACAATGCTTGTTGGATCCACATTTAATTACACAACTAATCAAGAAACTTGCATGGAGTATTCGTCTCTAAAAATGATAATGCTACTTCCCTTGGGAAATTTAGAGGATCCCAATCTAGAAGCATGATCCTTATGCAAGCCAGAGAGGACTTCAACATAAAAGTTGTGCTTGGAACAATTAAGTTCAATTTCACTGAATTTGTATTAACTTGAATTGGGGGGAAAGTAACTCTGTGTGGCTATTTGAATCAGGATTTCATTTCCTTTAGATTATAAATGAACAAACCTTATTGAACGCTACAAATGCCACAGTTTGCATGAAAAGGCAAAACGGCAAGTCCCGTGCGAGGCTGAATATAAGAACTAGTTGCACCACAAATTGCGGCAAAAAGGAGACCAGCTTCTCCACCATTGAAATTTTGTTGCTGTAATTAAGATATATGTGATAGAAATAGATGGAGAAGTTGTGCCTCGGATCTGTCCGTGTAAGATGGTACAGCAGTGCCTCATGCAGGAATTCCCACCCATATAAATGGAAGAACAGAGCAGTGAAAAGGAGAAAAACTCCCCCTGATATTATTCCAAACATTAGCCTATCCCTTGTAAATATGCTTTTTAATAGATTATATAAAGAACAGCATTTATCCCCATCCTTGGGTTTCTCTCCTTCAACAGCACTCCAGACCCTTAGGACAGGTTTCTGACCAGAGTGGAAGCAGCTAGGATCAAGAACCAACAATATAGGAATGGAATATATAATAGGGTAAATCCTGAAATGGACTACAACTCCGTACCAAAATGCTGACTGTACCACATTACCTGCAAACCAAAGCCAGGAAAATGGCCAAAAAAATAAGGCATCTAAAGAAATGACAGCCAATAAGAAAAACATCAAGAGAAATGCTAGGATTTAATTTTATACCATCAGCAAACGAGGGTTTATCTGTTGCATGATGCATCAACAAACAAGAAGCCTAATAATCATACATCTGGACTCTTCAATTTTATAACGAGAAAGCAAAAGATTCAAAAGCCAGGGGAAAGGCAGTCTTTGAGTTTATTACGTGTCAACTAATGTTTTAATTTATATACCGCACCTTTTTGAACTTTTACCTTGCATGGTAGGAGAGGTGGAAAACAGAACAGGGGGTGAAGTTAAAAAAGAATGAAAAGGTTATAATTTTCGTCTCCTGGTGTCTAGAAAAAAATAGGGAAATGGGTTAAAAGCACCTTACATCTCAAAACCACAATTAGGGAAGTCTATACAGTTTGAAAGAAAACTGGCATGGTTGGGCAAATGAGCAGCGTCACTGGCACAAAAATGGTTGATAGGAGGAAGCTATGTCGAATGACACATGGAGACAGGTGAGTAGAATTTCTAGAAGAAATTTGCTAAGTTGAAGGTTAAAAAGAGACTTGGGAAGAAGTAGGAGAATAAAGGGGAATTTCAGTAAGTCTTGGTAAGGAGTCTACTCTCCGTACAGGTTTTCCTTTTCTCGCTTCTGATGTTCTCTACTTTCTTTCTTTCTTTCTTTTGTTCTTTTTTTTTTTTAATACGAGATGTTCTCTACTTTTGCAGGTAATATTTTAGTTTTGATAGTAAACTACAGGTTTCCACCATAATCCTCACAACTAATTTCCCTCACTAACATCTTAGAAAATATATATATATATATATATATAACCAAATAATGGTAAACAACAACTAAAAACCTATTATTAAAGCCAATACCCAATAACAGGTTAAAAGATTGACCATCCATACTCACGAATCTAATATCACAACAGCATCAATTTAAGCCAACAAGAAAGCAAAAACATACCGTTTATAAGACAGATAATGGTCCACAAGACCAAAGCACAAACAATGGGCTCACAGTTCCCACGCGTCCCGATGGTGAAGGTAAATGGATTAAAGAGCCACGTCATGACACAGTAGTTGCATAGATTTTCAGGCACCTTACGCTGCTTCAAAATATAATATATGAAGTATCCCACAAGTATATCTGAATTTTGAACATGATAAGATGTTCTTAGATGTAATGAACCACAATTGAAAAAACTGCAGGCAATGCCTTCTCAATAAAAGTATAGGGATTTGGACTTGATGCAAAGGTACAAGATAAAATCTATAAAAGATGACAGTTACTAAATGTTACTTGTCTAGCAATTACAAACTCACTTTGCGTCATAGGTAAAAGCCTTCCAACCATGAAAAGGTCAAACAAGTTGCAACAAGCACAGGGCTCATGAGCAAATGGCATCTAATGTGTGCATGCTAATTACTACTCATCCAATTGATCCATCCTTAAACAAATGGCCCCACAAATCAATACTTTCAAACAGGGATTTGACACATGCTTAGGAATACAGAATAAAAATCTTTCCAAAACAAGTGAGCAATAACCACTTCAATTCAGTAGATCAGCCACAATTGTCTAGAGAAACTGAACATTGAAATGTTTTCATACCTGATGCTGAGAATAGAAACTTCCCCCATGATCGATGGATGATAGAATTTGGAATAAGAAGAAAAGCAAGTAAGGGGGAATAGCGATAAGTGGTTCTCTTATAAGGGGAATCACCCGAAGCCATATAAGATGCAGCATCAGAGAATACAAGGTAGTCAACATCAGTATACCTAACCTCCATATGAGCATCTTGCCATTCTCCATATAGAATTAAAGCCACACGGAAAAAGACAGAGAACACAAGCAATGAATGAAAATTTATGGTTGGCATTGCTGAAAGAGAATAAATACCAAACCTTGTCAGCTTCAGAATTTCAAAAACTTCATCTATAAAGGAAATTTTGGATATGATCGAGGTCAACTAAACAAATAGAAAGAATTCTATATCACGTCAATCATCCAGGTACATCTCAAAGGGTATCAAAACGAGAAATCACTGAAACCCAAACTTAAAAAAAAAAACAAAACAAAAAAGAAAAAAAGAAAAATAAAATCCAACTTTAGGTTGTGGGACCAAAACTTACTAGCAATTAATATCAGGTTGTTTTAATTGCTCATGGGATAGCCAGAACGGAATAATGGAAAAAAACCTTTGCTGCTGCCAAAAATTCTCCTTCCTTTAAGGTTTCATGGATTTAGATCTGCAACGGAAACCTAGCTTGTTCAAATATGATTATACAACCCAACTGGCATTGGTACGTGCAGAGAATAGTAAGACAGCCTGTCAATTGACACCCTATAATGGAAACTTTAAAGTTCCACCCAACAAGCTTTATCCATACAATAAATTACACACATACAGTAAACACTCTGTGCTTGCATGTTCAGTCAAATATTAGTTGTTCAAGTACATTTCATTCAGAAGGATAAAAAAAAAAATAAGGTGGACATGTTCAATTTATTCCACCTTCTTGAGATCCAAGTCCATGCTCATACTAATCAAACAGAGGTGATATTCATTAGCTTCTCAAGGAACGCCAAGGGTGAGCAACAAATTAAGAAATTGTAGCAATTAATTTTCATCATATGAGAAGCATTAATATGTACTGGAAAACAGCAGCAATTAAGTGCATCATTTAATCTTATAATTAATTTGGCAGTAGAAAATGAATTCAAATCTAGCTTCAAAACCAGACTGGACAAATCAATCTCGCCAGATTTTGGGAGTAGAAAATAGCCCTAGGGTTCAAGCCTTCTTCATTGCTTGCCCGAGAACAACCACACATGGCTGAACGGCAGACAACATCCAACGGAGAATGTGATGCTTGTTCATCGACTAAGAGAACTGGATCCACTACTCACGAGAAAGGATTTTATCGGGGTTTATGATGAAACCATTTTACATACACCAACAATAGTCCCCAACCTGTTAAGGATATTTTCCCCATATAACCATTTCACAGATACAATGAAACACAGAATTCATGCCATTCCCGAATCAATAGATGAGAATCAAAGCTGATTATACCAGTCATAGATTTAATTCCAATCAGAGTTCAAATTCATATAAGAGAATACCAATCCATAGGCGGAGCTATACTACACTCACTGGGGGCATTTATCATACTTTGAAATATGCATAGTTGATACAAGGTCCTTTTAATTTTTGTTCCAGATACTTTGACACAACTCGAGCCAAGTCATTTACAAGATTATACATCACAAGTAACTTGAGAATTTCCAAATTTGATGTTAATATAAAAAGATTAATAAACAGAATACCAAAACACAACAAATCCAACATTGCAAAAAAAAAAAAAAAATCCAAATCATACAAGTCCCTAGTAATCAAAATGAAGAGGGAAGAAGTATAATAGCCAATTACACACCATTCAAGCAAAAACTAGTTAAACAAAAATAAACAAATAAACTCAACATGCAAATATTCCCAAATCCAAAGGTGTCAATATTAAACTATTACACGACCAGATTCAAAGCCAAATTAAAATGAAAAGTTTAAAACATAGCAAGAACAGCGGGAACAGAGTACGCGAGGAAAAATTCAAATCAAGATTCAAAACACCAGATTGAACAAAGCAATGTCACCGTGGGAGTAGAAAAAGCGCCAGGGTTCGAATCTTCTTCACTGCTTTCCCGAGGACAACCACGCAGGGCTGACAACGGCGGACAGCGTCCGACGGAGTATGTGATGCTTGTTCCACGGCGAAGAGAATTGGGTCCGCCGGCGCCACCCACGAGAATGGGTGTTATCGGGGTTTATTTTAGGAAGAATATCGTACAGGTCCAAAATTAATTATTCAAATATACAAATTAATTACTCTAAAATAATTAATTGTATTTCAATAATTAATTAATTTATATTTATAAATTTATACTCAACTCTTCTATGTTAAATAGTTATTAAAAAAATTCTCATTTTGCCGTCTTACATTACCTACTAATTACTATTATTATCTATTGATTAGTTTTACATGAGGATGATATTACATATATTACTCAAAGTTCGCTATGTTTTTATCCAAGAAAAAACTACCCTTGGTTGCTGTATTTTTCTCCTATTATAAGTACTTGCAATTTTTTCATTATTCTATGTCTTTATATTTTTTTGGATTAAGGTTGAATTTTTCTTTTGTATCTTTTTTTTTTGGAACATTGAGTGAACAAATTTTTCCTAACTATTTTTTAAGAGAGTAAAATTTTCCTTTTGTTAATTTGTTATTTAGTCTCCTATTATCTGATAACTTATCATTAGATGGGATTTAGGGAAATTTGACTTGACTTCCAACCTATGAAGGCTGACATTCTGATCATTTGAGCATCTTATTTAGTTAAGTCAAGGATTTTGATTGAATTCCTTTTAAATAGGCAAACAAACCTAAGGTATTAAATGCTCAGTCTCTCCAACATAGTTGCATCTTTTGTTGGTGTTGAGTGAAATGCAAATCCAAAAATCTAGAAATCACAAACCTAGAAACTAGATAAGAAACCCAAAAATGCAAATCAATCATAGGCTCAGAAAACTACACAAGAAACCTAAAATTGCATATCAATCACAAACCCAAAAACTATGCAAGAAAATCAATCATAGAAGAATCAATTCATTCACAAATCTAGAAATCCAAATTTCATAATAGCAATTAACAACCAATTCAACATAAATATGAAAAAAAAAAATTCAAGAATAGGATGAACCAAGACCATATTAGATCAATGTAGACCACATCACAATGTATTACATAACATCCTCCCTTTCTAGAAAGTCCCTTGGAATTATTTTTGGGTTTAAGAATAAGATAAGGTCACATTTAAAATAGTTTAAGATAGTTGGGGTTTGAAAAAAATCATAACCCTTAATTTTTAGAACTTAATTAATATTAAGAAGAAATTATAGTTCACTTTTGATGATCTACCTCCACATAAATGAAGGGAAAGACTTCATGAATTTATCATCTAATTACTTGAATAAGAAAGATTTACGTATAATAAAATAAAATCTGGGCATTTAATTTTAAGGCATATTTTTGAGGAAGGAAAAATTTATAAGGTTGAATGAGATTAAATCAATAGGATCTTAAATTTTTAAAAATTATATTTATTCAAATATTATTTAAATTTAAATTATATTGAAACCAAATATAGTTAACATTTAATTTTTGATTTTAAAAGAACTTTAACAAATTATATATATGATAAATGATAGTGGAGTAAGTTGGATAATAATAATATTAATACTGATAATGATAATAGTTTATAGAGAAAAAATAAAAAAGTAATGATTGTATTTATAAAAAAAGAAGAAAGAGAAAAAAAATAAGGGTAAAGGGAAAAATATACCCACAAAGTGGTCAGCTAGGGGCATCCAAGATCCTACAGTGAAAAAAAGGACAAAAATACCTATGACGTTACATGAGTGGGTATAAAAATGACCAGACCTTTAATTTTAAACTAATACCGTTAACTTTGACCGTTAAATGCTGATTGTGCATGCCACGTGTTAGCTTTTATTGATGGGAACTAATAAAGGGGCCAAACTATCCACGAAGTTGACACTAAGAGCAAAAATACTTATAACGTTACCAAACTTGGTGCAAAAATGATCAATCTATCAAATTTTTTAAATGTTAACTGTTTAGCTGACATTAAAACACAAGTTGATTACTTTTTTTTATTGATGTAGACCAAAAATATTCCCAAATGAATTTTTATGGATGTTAATCAATCATCATATGAGTACTCATAATTAGTGACCAATTCATCAAAATCCATGCCATATGATTTCTTTCTATCGTAACATATCTTGTCCTTTTCCTTCTTCCCTTTCCATTAATTTTTTTGTTTGTAAAACCGAATATTTAATATAGTAAGATAGGTTTTACACATTAAAGATTGAGACTGAACACACCTTCTATGCCACACTACTTTGAGAATATTGTAACAACCTTAAGTAATTTCGCTCATGATAAGTTCAAAATTTTCAAATGGTTTTCGCCACTGCTATAAAGAAAAAAGTGATTTAATTTGATATTTGGTTAAAATGACATTTTCTCATATGATATTTATATAATGATCGATTAACCTTCAGAAAATTTTATCTGGAAATATTTTGTCTGTGTCAGCAAAAAAATGGTCAACTTTTATTCAGGTATAAGCTAAACAATCAATATTTAAAAGATTTGATGGATTGATTACTTTTGCACTAACTCTAGTAACATTATGGGTATTTTTGCTCTTGGTCGATGAATTTGTAGGTATTTTTACCCTTTTATTAGTCCACATACATAAGTAAAGTTTGACACATGGCATGCATAGTTAGCATTTTATGGTTAAAGTTAATGACGTTAGGTCAAAATTAATGGTTTGGTCACTTTTACTTCCACTCATATAATATTATAGGTATTTTTGTTATTTTTCTCACTTTAAGATACAAGATGCCCCTGGCTAATCACTTTGTGGGTATTTTTAGGTGCGTGCATGCGCGCGCGTGCAGGCCCACCATTTGTTGAATAAAGGCATTATATATAAGGAAACTTTCAATAAAAACTCCTTAGTTATACTTATTTAAATTCAAAACTCCTAAATTTTTGAAATTACACTGCAGTTTAGAGGTACTGATTTGATCTTAAATTTTTAAGAGAAATGACAAAATTGCCCCTCATTAAATTAATATTAGAACTTCCTTATTTCATTTGTTCATAAGCCTACTTCACTTATTAATTTACTTATAGAATGTTATTAATCACCCAATTTAACTTGTTTTCATTTTGTGTATTTAATTCATCTTAAGACAACTTGTTGATTCCTATATTATATGTCATTCATTTATTTACGAAATATTATTTATTGTCTTATTTCACTTGTTCATTGTCAGGCTTTCACTTGATTTTATTATAGGAAATGAACAAGTGAAATGGGGCAATTAACAACATTTCACATATAAATAAATAAGTGAAGTAAGGCAATTAATAAGTGAAGTATAAAATTTTTTATACTAATTTAAATGTAGGGTAATTTTGTTATTTTTCTCAAAAATTTTATATCAAATTAATACCCTTATATTGTCGTAAAATTTCAAAAATTTAAGACTTTTAAATTTAAATAAGTGTGGTTAAATGGTCTTTATTGAAAATTTAGGGTTATACATACCCTCATTCAAGTTTCAGAGAGGGCTTTTATTCCTGTTCTGCTATAATGCTATGACTGTGAGAGAGAGAAATAAGGACAACGAGCGTTGAATATAAATCTTGGAGAAGCAACATCAAAATTATTAGAGTAAGAGTAGGTTGAAACTTTTCAAGATTGGGTAAGTGTTGCATAATTTTTATTCTAGCTAATATCACTAATTTTAGGTGGATTTAAAATTGGAGAGATCCTAGGGACTAGATAGAATTGTTGAGTTGTAACTCTTTAATTATATTGAGACGATAAAAAAAGAGTAATTTTTGAGAATTTTAGATAATTTTGAGTAATTTTGAGAGCTATAGAAATTATTTTAGTCCCCTTTAAAACCGTTTATAAATTAAAAGTGACTTTATGAAATAGATTATAACTAATTGAAATTTATTTTAATTATTTGGGGATGAAAATTTAACTTATTAAATACTTGAAACTAATAAAACATGCTCACGAGCACTTTAAATAATAATTAATATGATACAAAGTTGCTTTGAGGAATCTTTGAAAAGTGTGATATGTATAAAATAAAATTAGTAGAGTTTAACAAGTATAGTTTTAGAATTAAATATAACTTCCATAAGTATTTTGAGATAACTTGAGAGTAACAAATAATTAAATATAAATTTTATGAGATTCTAATTGTTTAAATTATTATTTGTAGAGGTGTTAGGAGTTTCCTAAGGAGCTTCTAAAGTTGCTTTGATATTGAGTTAGTTGGATTATCTCTTATAAACAAACCTTGGGTTTTTTGAGTAAACTTGAGTTCAGGTAACTTCTTTTGGGTTATTTTGTATACAAGTGTTGGTAGGTAACTATATATTTTATAATACTTATATTAAATTGAATCTAATAAAGTATGTCTATTTAACGTTTTGTGAAAATTCTGTCTTGTGAAGTGTAAAAAGAAATTGAGAATTTATGTTTCATGATGAAACCTTTAGGAATGATACTTTTCTTGTATGAAAAATTTAGAATTGGATAGATATTGATTGAGCTTGATTGATTGTATAATTTAATTGTCATTATGGCATAAATATGATATATCATGTAAAATTTGATTCTAGGGTGAGGACTTAAATATAACTGTTTTGGATTATAGTTCTTGGTCATTGAACGCTACTAAATAACAATGTAATAAATGAAACTGTGATTTACTCTATAATGTATTGGAATTGTTCAGCACATGAGGTGTTTGCAAGTTGTGGGATAAAATAAAGGAAATAAGGTAGGATTATAATCACCCATTTACCTCCATGTAGCAGCATGAAGAGGTCTTATTTTGTGCCTGAGCTACCCAGTTTCTTGACTAAGGTTGGGTAAGCTCAATACCTTTTTGGGAACCTCTTTCAATCAAAAGGGGAATCTAAGGCTTGATATGGAGTAATGGAGCTTTTGGTTAGGCATTAGCTCCTTTCACCTAAGGCTTCAGCCTGAGGAAATAAGGAGATCAAAAGGAATTTAATACGAAATAAAATAGACTTTTAATCTATTATTATTGTCCTTCAGATGGTTTATACTTTTTTATTGTGATATTGGTTTAATATTATTGATGTTCTCTAGATAGTATATACTTGAATTACTAGATGATGTTGATGGAT